CACATCTGTCACCCCATCATGAGGCTTCTCTGAGATTCGGAGTCTAACACACACACTCAACGAGTAGAGCCATCACTTAGATACTCCAGGAGAGAGTTCCGTCTTCAAAGAGATTTCTTGACAATCCTGAAGGAATGTCAGTTGCTAAGTACAATTGAGTAAAGGGATTAGCCTCAGCACTGTGTGTTTAAATGTAAATGGTATAATCATTGGGAAGGGAAAATTTTCAGCCCATGTTACGCTCCACGCCCCCCGGTTGCTCGTTAGCTGGTGCAGGTCAGGCCTCGCTTTCTGCAGATGGCTGTTTATCTGCAGCCCGCTGGCCGCATTCTGTCGTCTGCCGGGTAAATGGCCTCTATCGGCAGGGCCAGGGTGTAGCTTCCTCTTGCCATTTCCTCCTTCTCAGGCTCGTTTCCTCTCGGAGCCAGCCCTGCACGTCAGGGGCTAATCTCCCTGCAGGAAGGGTCGCCTGGCAGGCCCACGATTGTTTCTGTTTCTATGGCGCCTCAGGTTGGAGGCAGCCAGGTGTTGGAATGGACTGGAAGGTGACTCCCCTTGAAAGGGCATAGGGGCCCCTGCGCATTCAAGCCCTTGACCCCCCACACCCTCATTAAACATTATTTTAAAAGATGCTAATGCTTTGCAGGTTTCGCCCAATCCCAGGAAGGAACATTGTCAGTTATGAGCTTTCCAGTGTTTGTCCCAGAGTCTAAATGTGCAGACTGCCTAAAATCGAGGAACGCGAGGACCTTATCTCAAGAGGAAAAACTCAGACGTGTGTAATAAGAACTCAAGCTCCTAATCGCTGTGCGTCGTTTTAACACAAACTTACAGAACTTTCCTTGTGAGCAGGGCTCCATCTGTCTTAAGGTTGGAATAGACTCTTTTTCCGTTGTGTTCAACGGGGATGGAATTGAGGCGAGGTTTCCCCAGCCTGTGCCAGGCTAAACGGAGGGTCAGCGCAGGCTGCGATCAGAAACTTAAAGCTTCTCAATTCATCCTTTGAATTCCTTTGTGTTTTCTCTTTCCTTTTTCTGAGTGCTACAAAAAAGTTCTTTTTTTAAAAAAAGCCCCAGCCTTATCTTAATGGGGCCAGGAGCAGAGTATGTTTTGGTTTCTTATTTTCCATAACTCCGTCTGGAATAAGCAGTGAAGAAAAAAAGCTGTTTGGATTGAAA